GCTTGGACTGACGTATACGGACCCGACTCTGATCTCGGACTTTTCCATTTGGACAGCCACTATGGATTCCTCCAGGTTTGCCGAAGGTTTGACGATCTCATGGTGCTGAATGCACCTTTTCACTGCGACTAGTGTGCCTCCGACTCTAGTCGGCCAATCTGCTCTGTGTGTCTGATATTTTAGCATGTTTTCCTGGATTAGGCACACATCGACGCTGTATTTGTCCAGGAAATCTTGGAGCTCTATTTTCTTGTTCTTCACTCCGTTGGCGTTCCAAGATATGACACACAGAGACTTGGGCCGGAGAACTCTAGACATGACTGCTCATAAATGCAATCATGTCTGCATTTGGTTTTGCATGGCCTGGATGGTTTAGGCCAGCTGTTCATGGCCGTTTTTGCCTCCTTGTTGACGTTGGGGGGCTTGCTGGGGCGGCAGGTTATTTTGGACGGCTCTACTGTAGCTCCTGCTGTTTTGATCGACTGATGGCTGTGATGCGGTGACAGTTGGGACTGCCCTGCGAGTTGGTGGAGTTTCTTTTCTTGTCTGCTGCTTTTGCATCGGTTTCGCAAGGCATCCGGAGAAGTAGGCTGGATGTGCGCCTCTGCTGTTTGCGCACCTCGCAGCCTTTTCCCGGGATTCATGTGCGGCGCACACTTGACACATTTTGCGGCGGCTGTACATTTAGATTGACCATGGCTCTTGGCATGCTGGGATTCCACTCTCACTCTTAGGTTTCCCAGCGATCTGACGTCAAATATGACCTTTTCGGTTGTGGCAGTAGCACCAGGACTACTGCTATTGGCTGGCCATTTTTCTTCTACCTCACTATGGTTGTTGGGTGGAATCCTAGGGCAATTAGCTCGTCCTTGATTTTGCCATCCCGCCATGACTCGATGACGCCTCTAATCACCAATCTGAGCTGTTTCTCCTCCTCCAACTGGTACGTGTGGTACTGGTATTTATAGGTATCCAGTACACTAATCATTTGCCTGTAGTCCTCGGCGGTTGGAGGGTGTGTTCTGACTCCCTCCTTGGTGGTCACTCCACATCCATAATTAATTTTCTTGGCCATCAGTCTTCGCGTTATTTCATCGTATTTGTCCTTCTCGCGAAGGACAACTGGAGGCACCTTTGACCTCCTTTCACTTTGCTGCTGGGCGGCAGGGGTGGCCTGCTTTTTCTTATTGTTTTTGCTAATATCCGGCTGGCTGGTTCTTAGCTGGGCTGCTCTGCGAGGGTCCCACCTTTGTCCCGGATCTGTAGAAAAAATTGGGGCCTTAGTATTGTCCTCACTGGAGGACACAGGTCTGGCTCGTTTCCTCCTTCGTCGGCGATTTGGCCTTTGATAGCCCTCGCCGTCTGAGGAGTCCGTCACCGGGCCCCTGCCGTCCTTGGAGGCAATTGAGGGAGCTGCCGCCTCAGCGGGTTACTTACTTACTGTTCCTTTTTGTCGTCTAGTATAGCAATTAAATATTTTTGAAGTGATTATTTACTACTATAATGCAGCCGAGAAGCAAACAAAGTACAAATTCAAAGTATTTACCTGTTATACTACAGACAAAATCGAAGCTGTTTTTTATACTTACATTAAAATATCCTTGTATACCTTTAACCTATAACCATTTTAAACGCCGGCATTTATCTCGTGGTACTCGAATAAATAGCTTATCTGGCGTTTTAAGTTGTACTAGGACACAGTGGCACCATACAGCATTTGATATATTGTTTATGTGTTACTTCCATTATTAATGAACCATAGCACGAATTCTGAACATTCAAGCGTTAACAACAAAAGCGTTAACTTTTTTCTGAGACTATAAATCAATCTTTTTTCTATAAATTGTGGAAAGCTGGAGTATTTTACGAAGAAAAGGTATTCTTAATATACTTCGCTCAGACGCACCATTTTCCAACTAAATGGCTTCAAAAATATCACTGCTATCCATACACATTTTATATTTTAAGTAAATATTGTACCGTGGATGGCCGAGTATCAAACTCTTTCTTCAGCTTCCAACTTTTATTCAACTCGGTATCACTTTAAATATGGAACAGGGACAAACTAACTTCTAAATTAACGTCAACTTCACAAACAATAACAATAACACAGGGAAAACTCGCTCTTCAGACTCGCGTGGTTTAACCTCTTCTACACTCGGTCGCTGCTGTCACTTCACTCCCCCCGTCTTTTTTGTTTGCCCGGCGGCGGCTGTAGGATAAAAAATCTTCTCGAAGACACCCAGTGTCCCGTGACACAAGGTAGTGTTGGATTTCTACCAACTAAAAAAACCCCGTTTTTTGACTGCAAGTTTCCAGGAGTTATCCTTTAAAACTTGTGGTCTTCTGTAAGAATAGTTCAGCTCTGGCATCCGTATGCCTTCATTCACCTCTCATTCTCTCCATGCTAGCTAGCTGCTAGAATAGGCATCTTACTAATTTGACACAAGCACTACACTACTCAATGTTACTTCCATCACTCTATCCTAAAGGTCATACACTTACAGCACTCTACAGTTTACTGCTTGTACCTATTTATTGCCCTATTGGGACATCTGGTGTCTGGGCCCGTTGTCCTCTGTGGAGTAAGCTACGACATTTCGTAGCTCCTCAAAGGGGTGGTTTTCGGCCTTGGAGTGTAGAAGAGGTTAAACCCCGCGAGTCTGAAGAGCGAGTTTTCCGTGTGTTATTGTTATTGTTTGTGAAGTTGACGTTAATTTAGTAGTTAACCATGAATTTTGATCCCTCCATTTCAAACGAGTACCCCAGGCCATTTCCTTACAGGCCGTTACAATATTATTATCCATTGTACGTACTTTCCTGACTGTGTTTCAATTCCAAATTAAATTCAAATCCTGGGTTCTTCAGTCATTTATTGTCTATTTATCAATTAAAAAAACGTTTCGGTGTTTTCCACCATCATCAGTTTCAATGTGTAGCGTTG